TCCCTTCCTTTTTATAGCAGCGTAGTATTCCATTGTGAAGATGTACCACCGCTTTCTAATCCACTCATCTGCTGATCAGCACTTAGGCTGTTTTCCAATCTTAGGTATGGTAAATTGTGCTGCTATGAACCTAGAGGTGCATATATAGCCTTTCTGATCGGTATTTCTGATTTCTTGGAATATATTCCTAGAAGTTGGATTACTGGGTCAAATGGGAACTCTGTTTTTCATTATTTTGAGGAATAGGGGGACTTCTATACAACCAGCTAAGACAGCAGAAACTAAGATTAAATTAGAAATGAAAACCAAGGTGAAGCAAAGAGTGTAAAAAACAATCATAATTTTGTCATTAATCATTTCACAATAAAAGTCGTAACAAGTTTGTTTCCCACTTATCTATATACTTTTGACAAGCCAGATACTCTTAAATTTCTAATTCTTAACTGAATTTAAGTCCCCTTACCCTCTGGCCCAGGGATTTGGCAGCGCCTAGAGACATTTCTTGGTTGTCATAGTGGAGTTGGAGGGTCCTGAGCAAACACCAGAGATGCTGCTAAATACCCTACAATGCACAGCACAAATCTCCACAACAAAAAATGACCTGACCTGTTCCCTCACACACTTCAGAGCTAATTTCTTGGAAGAACAGGGAGCATTTAGCTCTCTAAATCCACTGCCTACTCATTTTCCTAGAGCCCAGAGACACCTTTTACTTGACCAACATGAGGCATTTACTACCATGTTTCCCCGAAAATAAGACATCCTCTGAAAATAAGACCTACTTACAGGTTTCCTTCTGGGTGAAATATAAGGCATCCCTCAAAAATAAGGCCCCCCTAGACTCTGTCTCAGAAATTTTGTGAAACCTAAACTGCAAGAAGTTGTGACTTGGGTGAAGAATTCATGAGAGAAAAATCACTGACAGTTGCATTGCAAATGCACTGCTAGCAGGCTATCTTGACAAGAAGTACTCATTTGAAGGCAGTGCTATTGCTAAACATGAGAGATTTGGTCCACTGATTCTGAAAGAAATGGAGTCACAAGAAATTCACCAGGAAATTCAGGAATTGGATTGTTATGATGATGTTCCAGAAGATGATGACATGATTGTCATTGAATAAATGAGTAAATTCTTGATACTGTAGGATTCACAGTTTGTCTGTTTTGTGTTGACAACTACCGTACTACCATATACAGGTAATAAATTTCCTTTATTTTCATTTAACAATAAATGTGTACTGTATTCTTCTTCATGGAAAAATAAGACATCCTCTGAAAATAAGACCTAGTGCATCTTTGGGAGCAAAAATTAACATAAGACACTGTCTTATTTTCGGGGAAACAGGGTAGTACATCACCAACGACTTTTCATTCTGAAAATTGTCCTCTTATTTTTTTTTTTTGTCACTTCCTGATGATATCCCCTAAACTCTGAAATGTCTTCTGAGCCTCCTCTACTGGCATTCTTTCCTTTGCCCATGATCAAATATCGGGGTTCCAGGCAGTGGGAGTGGTCTTGGCCCTTATTAACCACTGAGCACACAGCCTGCCTGGGCAATCATGTCTACTTCTTACCTACTCCCAAGGCTTTGAGCGCCATCTGGGAAAGACCTTTCTTTTCAATTCCAGAAGCTTTTTTAAAATATAGAACATGAGGTATTTTCACCTTCATATCTCATTGTTCTGGCAAACAACATAGCCAGGGTAATTTCAGTCTCCAGTTCCTACTAGGTATTTGTCCTGTAGCTGCCATTCCTAGAGATGGTAGCAATATATACAGTAAATCTGCCAAACATATATATCATCTCACAAATTGACCATAAAGTGGTATGATTTATAATTTCTTAATGTGATTTAAACTATTTGCTTCTTTTAATCTTTACTGCTACTTTCAGTTTAAAATCTAACATATACCCTCTTCTGAGTTATTTGGCAGATTCATAATTCCTCTCTGATTTCAATCATCATTCCTTTAGACCAATCGTTATTTTTCCTTCATTTCAAAGTCTCTCATTTTACAGAACAAAAATGAGTAGATTTTATGAATCAGCACCTTTCAAACATATGCTGCCCACCAACCTCATATCAAACTACCTGAATCTCTCCAAATACACAATGTTTTAAGGTTTCCATTTATTCCATATATATATATATATATATATATATATATATATATATATATATATATATATATATAATGTTCTATAATTGAGCATTTATGTTAAGCATTCAAAAATATGAAGATCAAGAATTTTTATAATATGGTAGAGAAACACATATTTATACCATTTTATAAAAATACACTGGTTACAATATTATTGAAAGCTCTCAATATTTTGACCCTAATTTCCATATTAATACTTTTTATGAAACACAAGGAAAGACAGAATACTTATGAGCTAATGCGAAAAAGATGCATATAAATGAATACTGTTTGATCTTGTATTGCCTCAAATGGCATGAACTGTTGACATGGCAATAGAAGAAAGAATTTTATTCACTAGCTAAATTCAATTTTGAAGACTTGTGTTTTCCTCTCTAGGCCAGAAATATTTTTAGCATTTCTCAAAGCTCATTGATTTAATTTTTTTTTTTTTAAAGCTACTGTCGTATTACAGGAAAAAAGTCATTATTTTAAAATTTCCTTTTAAAACAGTTTGATTCATTATTGATGATGGGATTAGGAAAGAAAGCAATCCTTCAGGTTACTAAATAAAAATATAAGGTGCATGTTCACTGATAGCAATTTTAACAAAGCTAAGGCTTCGAAAAAGAAATCATAACCTTATATCTGCCCAACAATAAAATGGCTGGCCAATTTTGATAAATTTTAATATTAAGAAGAAAGGCTAGTTAAGGTTAAAAACAGTTATTTTCTGCCTGGGCTGTTGTGGCTCAGTTGATTGGGCACCATCCATGTATCGAAAGGTTGCTGGTTTGATTTGCAAACAGGGCACAGGCCTGGGTTGAGGGGCTGGCTCAATCCCTGGCAGGGGGGTGCAGGAGTTAGCTGATTAAGGTTTTGCTCTCACATTGATATTTCTTTCTCTCTCTCCCTTTCTCTTTCTAAACATAAAAAAATAGTTATTTGCTGTTAAGAAGATAAAAGAAAAAGTAAAAAAAAAAAAACAAACCCTCAAAATTCCTAAGTTTTATTTGTATAAAATAGTCCCGATTTTATTTTAGTTTTACCAAATATGGTACAATTTTCTAAAACTGAAAATTAAAATAACCCGAATCTGAACTTAAATTCCCCATTAACCTGTTTAAACAGAGATTTAATTTTATTCATGTAAGGGAGAATAATGCCTGTTATATTTACTATAAAGGGGCGTGGTAGAAAAAAAGATCAATAGAATTTGACATTGAATTATTTAATATTTTTAAAAAGTTCCAGAAATAAGGTATTTCAAAATAAAAATGGAAGTTAGGAATATTTGCATTTTTAAGGTTTTGTGTATGTTTCAAATCTCACTAAATTTAACTGCTTTTTAAAATAATTTATAAAAAACATTGATATCAAAAACATTGATAATAAAAAACATTGATAACAAAAACATAGCTGAATAAGAAATAGAAAGATTTTGTTTACAAAAAGATGTTTTCATGTCTAAAGGTAATGATAAAAGATAGTGATATATTATTGAGAATTTTAGTACATAAATACACAAGTTTTATAATATAGTATAATAAACTTAAAATGTAAGTAAAAATATCAACTTTAATTCCAGACATGAGACCATGAGCTGCTATTTAGTGCTATCCTTCAAGACAAAGAAATAAGACTCATGCATAAATTCTCTTATCTGTGAGACCAATGGTACAACCAGAAAGTTGAAAAGTACAAACTTTTTATTTTTTTATTTTTATTTTTTTTTAAATATAGTTTATTGATTTTTTACAGAAAGGAAGAGAGAGGGATAGAGAGTTAGAAACATCTATGAGAGAGAATCATCGATCAGCTGCCTCTTGCACACCCTTTTCTGGGGATGTGCCCGCAACCAAGATACATGCCCTTGACCTGAATCGAACCTGGGACCCTTGAGTCCGCAGGCCGACGCTCTATCCACTGAGCCAAACCAGTCTTGGCAGAAAAGTACAAACTTTTTAAAGATTCAACTGTTTCCATCTTTTTCACAATTAATTATAGATAAAGTATTTCCTCAAAATAGATAATATAAAAAATGTATTATTATGTTTAAATTACCATGCCAAATCTTTGCTGTAAACCAGGAAAAAAATATCATATTTTTTATTTTGTTCTGAAAAATAATTCATAAAGTTTTGGAATTGATGTAAAAATTGCTACAAAGCATTGATATCATCATTTACTGGTGTTGTTTGGGTTATCTGCTTAATAATTTATTTATTTTTTTCAGTGTCAAAGTCAGGGCAAATCCTTAACTACTGCTGATTCCCAAGACTTAGACCCTCTGATGTATGGACATTCTATCTCTACAGAAATAAGATATCTTCTATGATGAATTTTTCTATTAAATAAGTAAATAAAGTATAGTTGGCATTATTGTTGGTGTGTTCTTCCAAGCATGCCTAGAGTAATGATTCCTTTATCAGAAATTACCTGGTAAAAGTTTTATATATATATATTATAAATAGGTAACAGAAATTGGTGCAATATTGAATTCATCCCTTGTATTTGCTGACATGGTAAACACAAACTTTTCATTTAACACTGCCAACTTTAATGCTTGATTATATCTCTCATTAACAACTCAAATTTTAAAGTGAGTAGTATGGCCACCTTGCTGTAATATACTAACACTCTCCTCACCATAGTGCTGTATTCTAAATACATAAACTGCAACACCTGGGTTTTTATTATTTTTGACTGGCTTTCTCTAGAGAAGATAAAGTAAAATTATGTAGAGTTTTTAATAGTTTTATTCTTTGGGTATGGAGCATCCATGAGAACAAAGCTTACTACGAATAAATCAAAGTAAATGCGCATGCCATTTACGCGGTTCATTGTGTTCACTTACATGCCACTTCCAGAGATGCATTTCGACTCACTGCTTCGCCGAGATAGTTTCTTGCAACGCAAACGTAGCTTCCTTCATCGGGTTTACTTCTGCGGCCGTGCACGATGCGCAGGAAGAACAAGGATCCGCTGGGCAGCAGCATCCTGTGGGAGCGCGGGTCGTCCTTGTCGGTCTCCACCCGCTCGCCATCCTTGTACCACTCAATGGTGGGCGTGGGCCGGCCCTCTGCCTTACAGTTCAATGTGGTGGGCTCCCCCTTGGAAACAATGACATCTGAAGGGTGCTCCACAATCCGTGGGGGGAAGTCTTCCTGACGAAGACGAGATCCTAAAACATGACAGAGTAAAGACAAGCTTTGACATTTCCTTAGTGATAGCTTTTGTTTGATTTAGGTTGACATTAATGAAATGAAACTCTTTATTCAAAATGCACTTGTTACTATTTTATTCGTTTTACTCTTTTGTTCTTAATGTATCTCGCAAGTCATCCCCATTCCTTTGTGTAATACGACAATGTAATAATAAATTAATGTTAATTCTAATAAGTTACAGTTAAGGTCCCATGAGTCATGACCAACAAAAGTAAAAGAGAGCAGGTTATACTGGGTACAAGTAAAACAAATTCCTGTCCTCTAAGTGCTCACTGTCCCTTGGGGAGAAAGTCAAGTGCCCAAGTACCTAGAGCACATACATACATGCCGTTTATCATGCCGGTGTGCTGTTATCAGACTTAACACAAAAAAAGACTCACACATTAGGTACAAATATTAGCTCAATTTAACAGATAAGAAAGAAGCTAAGGAAATTAAATTGATTGCCCAAGAATGTAGAGGAAATTCGCAGTAGAGGCAGGATTTACACCCAGATATGTCTGACTGAGGACCTAAAGCATGAATCACTATGTTAAAATGAAATGAGCATTGCATAAAGGTCCAAAAAATGCATTATAGGAAGAAAACGAGGAGCAAAATGTTAACTCTAACTAGAACATATTAAGAAGTCTTTTCCCCAAAACAGTGACATTTAAATTGAGCTGTAAAGCATAAAAATATGTCAATATGGGAGAAAGGCATTCAGATTGAAGAAACAATATAAGCAAAAGAAGAAAGAAATTAGACCACATGCACAGTACATTTCATAATCAGGGGAAAACTTGATGTGGTAGGTGAAGGTAAAATGTAGTCTTGGAGCCTGAGACAAAAGGGCTTTAAATACCATGCTAAGGAGTGTGAGTTTCAGTCTATAAGGCTAACAGATTTTGAAGGAACAGTACCTTGACTATGATGTATAATTATTAGAAAGACACTCAGTGTTTGTAGTGTAAAAGATTTGTAGCAATGAAAACAAAAGACAATTAAGAGTTGTTTAAATACCCCAGAATTCTAACAAAGAAACAAAACAAAATAAAAAACATGACCTTGAGAAATAATGCTGAAAGTATAAAAAAGAGAAAGCTATAAGGCATATTACAAAACCAAGCTTGATAGAATTTGGTATATCACCATACAGTAAGGAAGAGTGATAGGTACCAATGACTTCCTTGTGACTACAAAGAAAGTAGGGATACTAAGGAAAATAAGACATACCAAGAGGAAGACCTGTTGTTATTTGTAAACGAACATTTTAGATAACATATAGTTTTGGATATGTTTAATTTATGAAGTGTCAATGGCCATTATGTGTGGAAAGGTCCTACCAGCAACTGCAAAATAAATCCAAAGGAGATGCAGGAAGAAATAATGATATCTGAGGACAATTATAATGTACATATGGGATTTTAAAAGTTTGCTCATAAATTTTCCAGCCAATCACCTAATATTAGCACATTTATGCCCAATACACAGAAGTAATATTTATGCCTCAATAGTGTTTATTTATATTCAATATTAATTAAAATTTAATATTTTACTTTTACAGAGGAAATTTAATTTTGTAGTAAATAAACATTTTCTTTTCTGAAGAGATTTAACATTTAAGGTTGCTGATTACTATTTGTAATCTCATCAGATCCAAAAAGGATCTTACATATTGCAAGTGCTAGGTATCTACAGCAAAAGAGTAATTCACAGTACCCAGGTCATTATTAAAATACAAGAAAAAAAAAGTACTAAAGAACTGCAAAGCATTTAAATATGGACAGGTACATCATGTATCACAGTAATATAGAAAGACACATATTTTAAGTACTGAGGCCCTAAAGCACATCCTCAAATAAACTAATTTGTTGTCTAAAAAATAAGAATTATTAAAAAAATAATCAAAAAATACTTCAAAGTATCCTATATAATGAAAGTAGAGTATGCAAATTGTCCCCTCAACCAGAAATTGTCCAGAGTTCCATCAGAGGGGTGGGCTGACTGGGGGAAGGGAGGAAGTACCTGGCTAGCAGCTGCTATGGTCCTTACCAGTGCACAAATGTCATGCACTGGACCTCTAGTTTAAATATAAAGGGCTAATCATAGTTTACAAATAGTAGCATATTCCCAAATGTAAATGTCTGGACACATACATAGACTCTACTCCTGAAATGCATCAAGGGTTCTATGCTGCTTTTCATAGACATCATGTATAAAAATGTATATGTGTGAGTCAGATGAAGAAGTGGTAAGGGGCACCATAGCTTTCATCAAATTTCCAAAGAGGTTCTGGGCCATATGAAGGACAACTAAACTATTAAACTACTACATCATTGGACCAAAATAACCCCATCATTTGGTTAAACAAACAACAACAACAATAACAAAAGACAATTGAATTTTCAACCAAACTCATTGGGAATTCAAATCACAACAGTAGAGGGGGCTGTCCATCACATGAAGTGCCCTGGAACAACTTAACTAACCTCAAGAGCTTGGATACCCAAGGCATATTTGAAATACAAGATGCAGGGCCAATCTCAGAGTTGCAGAATCAGAATCAGCATTTTGACAAGATCCCTGAAGAATTCATGTGCTTTCTATAGTCTGAAAAGCACTGCTCTGACCAGTTTTTTGTTTGTTTGTTTGTTTGTTTGTTTGTTTTGCCCTGAGCTAAGAATATTTTTACATTTTTTTAAATGTTAGAAGACTGAGGAACAAGAAAGGGAGGAAGAAAATGGAAAAATAAAGAGACCCTAAATGGCCTAAAATGCTTGTAATATCTACTATCTGATCCTTTACAGAAAAAGTTTACCAGTCTTGCTGTAGAGTATCTATTTATAACTTTACATTAATTACTTCAGTTTTTAAATTTATATCCCTCTTATAAGACCACAAAACTGGTTTCTCCAGATTCCAGATGAAAAAGAAAAAACAAAACAACAACAACAACAACAAACAAATAAATAACAACAACAAAAAAAAAACCTTTGAGCCCTAACTGGTTTGGCTCAGTGGATACAGCATCAGTCAGCAGACTGAAGGGTCCCAGGTTCAATTCTGGCAGAGGTTATATACCTTAATTGCAGGCATATCCCCAGTAGGGGGTGTGCTGGAGGCAGCTGATAGATGTTTCTCTCTCATCGATGTTTCTAGCTCTCAATTCCTCTCCCTTCCTCTCTGTAAAAAAATCAATAAAACATATTTTTTAAAAATCTTTGATAGCAATCTTACTATTGTTTGTGTAATGAGAAATGTTCAGGATTCCTATATGAACACATAGGCTAAGCATGGTTTGAAAATTACTATCTGCAATTATATCCTTTCTCCCCGATGACAGTGTAGACCTCTTTTTATATTTCAGTTTTTAAATGGGACATTAGACGGTCCAGTTTTCATTTTAAACTGCCCTGTTTTTATTCAAGTGCCCTTAGCTATTTTATAAAAAGACGATGGAAATCAGTCACACAGTTCTAAAGATGAACATCCAAATGTTTATTTTTACTGTCCAAGAAACTAAGCTATAAAATAGTAAATTAACTTGTCCATAACTGAATAGCTAGTTGAAACAGTATTAGAACTCAAGATCTTCAATCCAAAATATGGCAGGCATTTTTTTAAAAGTGGATGGAAGAGTAAGTAAAGAATGCACATTACTATTATGCTAATACCTAAACCCTCTTCTAAGTTAATTTCCATAAAATTAGTCAAATGAATGCCTCCTGTCATAATATAGCCAGAAAATATCTTCCTTCTTTGTCAAAATATGACCCTCAGACTACATGTCTAGAATCACTTGGAATGTTACTTTAAAATCAGATTCTTGGTCTCCACAACCAACCAGAGGCACTGGAAGTTACAAGAGGAAGGGTCTAAGAAGCTGCACCATGGGCATGCCATGCACTTAGATTGGTGACATGTAAGCATCCTGCAGAAATATGGAATTCCTCAGTTACATGAGGATGCATCTTCCACTAATGTTCTGAGTACCCAAATTTACATAATAGATTACTTCTGCTTCTCAGAGGCTCCCAAACAATATTTTTTTTGTAAAATATTTAATAAAAAAATAAATTGAATAGTCTGTTAGCTCTTCAAATTTTAGAGATTTGGAGATGAAGTTTAAAATAATAATTTGTGAAAGTATTTAAATGTAGTTGTATTAGGCAATAACCTCCCATTAGCAGTGAGTGGTACAGAAACTTGTTTTCAGAAAGCCATTTCAATTACATCTATAATAATAAAAGTGGAATATGCTAATTAGACGGGACAGCCGAACGACCTTCAGGATGACTTTCCAGATGAAGCCGGGGCTGTGAGGGCTGAGGCAAGCTGCAGTAGCTGAGAGGGTCAAGCCCCTTGCATGAATTTCATGCACTGGGCCTCTAGTAATTAAATAAAGGAGGATAAAGTACTTAGAAGAACACACTTGTTAATGTCATATAAAACATTTCAAAATAAACTCGTTCTGTCTCATTATTCAATAGAATGTAGTATCTCTTTCAACTAAGATTTACTTTTGATTCACAAACTAGATAACCATATCTAAGTTTTTTCAAGGGCAGAAGAAATTCTTGGCCAATTAGAGACAGTGTGCAATCCACCCCCACCCCAGCAAAATATCTAGGTGGTGTCAGTTTTTCTTTTTTCTAAAAATGTATATAAATACTGTGAATTAGTTCGTCATAACTATGTATGTTTTGACAAAATATTTTCCAAAATAAATTACCTAGCAAAATTAAGCCAGGAAGATTTTCCATGGCACTGATTCTGAATGTGACCAGTAGCTCCTTAAGTTATCACTCCTCCCACTTCCCCCAGGTGAGAGGCACACAGAGCGATATGAATAATGTAGGCTGCTTGGCCCCTCAGAATAAGAAAAGGGCAGTGTGGTAGGAATACTGGATGTGGGTCACTCATTAGCAAATATTATGCCTCACTTTTATCGGACACAAACCTTAACACCAATATC